GAACAGGACCAAAACAACATGCAAATTGACGAATAAACATTGAAGTGAATCTCTGCTTTGTTTCGTATGTACTGTTCACTACTGGGAAAACTATTTAACTATTAACGTTAAATAGATCGTAAAGACAACGTTAAATACGTTAGCATGAACTAACTTTAACCTTGTGGCGACGTAAAATGACGTATGACAACGTTAGTCACAACGTTGTGACCAACGTAAATGGGAGTCCACAGAATAACGTTGTGACAACGTGAAATTGATAGCTGGGATAGCATTGTTCTTTAACACGCCCCATTATTGAGTCGAGATTGGCTTCTCCGCTTGAACATGAATACGCACGGTATCCGACCACGGCCCCTCACTCACCCATCAAAATCCCGCATCATCCCGACAAGACGGATCCTCAGTAACAACGTACATGGCGCCATGTCAGGAGAAAAGTCCCATCTTGTCCGGCCGATGGAGACGTGCTTCGGGGAATTTGTACAGTCTAAGGGGAGACGACTGTGTATCAGCTATTGTTTTCCATGATTCCGATAAGACGCACTGTTTAAATTCAATGGTGTTAGGTCCCTTGTTTTGCGGTGGTTCTGCATGGATTGTATTTCGTAAAACATTCGCTTGAACTTCCCTGAATTTGAAGGTCTTTCCCATGTTATTCGCGTCCTCGGTTGGTGAATCGGAGTGTATGTAATACTCTAACTTGTGAATATTAACCGCATCTGTGGGACAAGCTGGAAGATGCGGCTGTTGCGGATGGTGCGGTTGTTGCGGTTTTGCGGATGGTGCGTTTTTGCGTAAGATGCGGACAATGCAAATGTCAGGGTTCAGCATCTTTGTCTTGTTTAGATATGTCACTTGTTCCCCATCGCAGCTTCTTGGGACTTTTCCATGCGTTTTCTTGAGACTTTCGTGATGCCGCCGCCCTGCAACATAAAGTTTAATTGCCTTAAACTACGTGACGCGTAATGTTTATCCCATTTTGGTACACTACGTAACTGTCATAACAGTAAATATAACGGCGATAAGGTTATCAGGTACATACCAGGTATAAAATCCCAAGTCACGTACAGTACGTAAAAGGGATAACAGTAATTTTACTGCGATAACTTTATCAGCTACACACAATGTATGAAATTAACCCCCTATGTTAATGGGATAACAGGAAATATATCTGCGATCAAATGATCAAACACGTATCATACGTTATTCAGAGTCACGAACACTCTTTAAAGTTGATAACGGTCACTTTTTATAGCGTTACGTTGATCAGACACGTATTATACGGGAAGTTGATTCCACTTACGTACGACACGCAAAAATGGGTCATAGTCACAAAAATACGGGACACGTAGGGAATGTGTTGTAACGTTAGGTTACAAACCTGCATTTAGTACACCAAAGACAAATATGCATCCTGTTCGGAACAGACACTTTCATAATCACTGGAATAAAATATTCATGTATGCATATAGGACGTGGGGCAGACCCGTTGAAAGATCCGGAGGCGGCTAACGGGTCGGGTGGTCAGGCTCGCTGACTTAGTTGACACATGTCATCGTATCCCAATTGCCTATATCGATGCTTATGCTGTTGATCACTGGATTGTCTGGTTCAGACTCGATTATTTACAGACCGCCGCCATATAGCTGGAATATTGCGGAGTGCGGCGTTCAGCAACAAACCAACCAACCAACCAACCAACGTGAAGCAGATGGTAGCCTTCTGCAGCTGGCTGAAGCGTTCACTCGTCACGCGTGTTCGAATCCCCACATGGTACAATATGTGAAGCCCATTTCTGGTGTTAAGGTGATATTGCTGGAATATTGCGTAAACCCAAATGGTATACTCACGCACAAACCCATACATTCACACACTATAAAAAGGGGGGCGGTGGGGTAGTCTAGTGGTTAAAGCGTTGGCTCGTCACGCCGAAGACCAGGTTCGAATCCCTCACATGGGTACAATGAGTGAAGCCCATTTCTGGTGTCCCCGCCGTGATATTGCTGGAATATTGCTAAAAGCGGCGTAAAACCAAACTCAGTCAGTCAGTCAGTCACTCACTATAAAAGGACCAAACACTTCATTTACAACGCTAATATCAATCAATCATCTTGTCCAGATTCGACTAATTAAATATCTTTAATACAGCTGAAATATTGCAATAATCAAACTTACGTTTCAATGAAGTGGACCTTAAACTCCTCACCCAAGGACCCTTCTTGCAAGATGGCAGCCTGTTGTACCCATCGACAGCTCGAACGCGGAACCACATTTTCAGACCGTGTGTTGCACTTGATTGGTTTAGAGCCCATTTGGCATGTCCAATCGTAAGCATCGACTGAGTTCGAAACAAGCGAATAAACGGCTTGGCAGTGTCTATTATTTCTACCCAATGGTCGTCATCTGTTTCCCGATCGATCGGTTTGGTTATCGGTGTGACTGAAAGGAGTGGGTGGGACGACCAGTTTGTCTCAACCACGTAAATCAAACCAGTGAAGTGGGTCGCGTTTTCAGGAACACGCCATCTGATCTCCATGGCAGCGGGGGAGGAACTGGAGATGACGTGCTCATATTGTTCTATAACGATTCTTCCCGGTAACGACGGGTCGTGCTTCAATGGTTTCCATGACGCCCCATCTGACAAAATGGCGTCGTCACGAATGTTTGAAGCGGCTGGTGATGGGCGTGGAAAACCTGGAACGTACTTCCGGTCTGACTGGGCTCCGGTCTGTGGCAGTGGAACCATTCTGTGTGACCGGGTGGCATCTTGAAGAGATACTGGAACAGACACTTTCTCAACATCAGCATCAAGTGATGAAGTTCGCTGGTCATCAATGAAACTAAAACTGGGCTCTGTATTATGTGCAACTGGTTCTGCTGATGTTCTGCGAGTTCCTCGAGATGTATGCTCTGGGTAAGCAGGTGGAGGCCCTTGTATGTTTGTATCAACTGACTGAATGGATGATCCACTTCTGAAGCTTCTGTAGCTTAAAGAGAAGTTGATAGTTAAGTGAACGTACGTATAATAAAAATCGCAATGTATGAGTGAGTGAGTTTAGTTTTACGCTGCACTCAGCAACATTCCAGCTATATGGCGGCGGTCTGTAAATAATCGAGACTGGACCAGACAATCCAGTGATCAACAACATGAGCATGGATCTGCGGAATTGGGAACCGATGACATGTGTCAACCAAGTCATCGGGCCTTACCACCTGATGCCGTTAGTCGCCTCTTACGACAAGCATTGGTTACTGAAGATCAATATTCTAACCCGGACCTTCACGGGTCTCAAAATGTATGAAACAAGCATTATTGTTGGTCGATTGTTTAACGACGCTATCAGCAATATTCCAGCTATATGACGGGGGTCTGTAAATAATTGAGTCTGGACCAGACACTCCAGTGATTCACATCATGAACATCGATCCACGCAATCAACCAAGTCAGCGAGCCTGACCACCGGATCCCGTTAGTCGCCTCTTACGACAAACATGACTTTCTATTTTTCACGGGTCGAAACTAGTATCACACACCTAACATAATAACACAACGGAAACATCGTTCTAATGCTCGCCAACAACTTATGACAACCATATAAGGTTACTAAATCGAGTTACATCCACTCATCTAGCAACCGACCATTGAAATCAAGGACACTTCGATCAATATTATAGTAGTAGTAGTAGTAGTAGTAGTAGTAGTAGTAGTAGTAGTAGTAGTAGTAGTAGTGTGACTTTACTGACGGCTTCCATAGTGGACTTTTGTTACTTTATCCATTTAGGTTTTATGAGTGAATTGTTTTGTTTTGTTTATTCATCCGACGAGAAGTTATGTAAACAATATTACTAAGGAACAGTCTTTGTATCATTAATGAAGCTTTGTCCAGATAGGTACTGAAACCATGAAAATATATAATATAATAAACTATTCACCGTGGAGGGTACCCGTGACGATCCGGGTTAGAATTAGTCTTCAGTAACCCATACTTGTCGTAAGAGGCGACAAACGAGATCGGGTAGTCAGGCTCCCAACTGCATAGATCGTTGCTCATGACCGATTTACAGACCGCCGCAATTTAAGTGTAATATTGCTGAGAACGGCATTAAACAACAAACAAACAACGAACAAACGTGCAGGTCACTCTACCATCAAACTAATTCCCCATAGTGAAAGTTCACGGAGTTACCTCCCTTCCCCAACTTTGCTCGCCTCATCATCACACCTGTTCCCTGCTTACCTGCTGGTCGATGATGGAGGGAATATAACAACAAAGGAATCTCCGGATAAATCCTCGGGGTTGAGGCTGGACGGCGTCTGTATCCCTTTGATGTCGCATCCTCAGCAATGGCGGCCATTGTGTCGGATTGTACGACGGGGGCTCTCCTCCTCCATATCCCATTTTCAGCTTGGGCTGATAATTTGTAAAACCATCATGAATAATGTCATAAACAATGAACATGTCACATACAATTTAACATGAAGTAATGAAATCTTTGTATCTTGCGTATAGTGACCTTTTCACCACAAAATAATTACATGCAGCAATATTTCCGGGTTTATGACGTATCTCATATCAGTTACATTATTAGTGAACATTTAAAATGTAATTATTATACAAAAAATGATGTTTTTTGCCTACAACGTTATCACAGTAGCATCATAATTTCTCTCCTGTCACTATTAGACACACTTTAGAAACACATAAACAGACAGATATATCGTTTCGCTGTTAGTACCGCATATCGCAAGGGATGCTCACATTTATCAAATCAAAATAAACGTAATGAAAGACTTACAGAATATGTGAAGTGTTGAATCCTATGATGGTAAGTATGCAGTGGCTATGTACAGAGACAGTGTAACTTACGTTATGTAGGTCAGTATCGTATCTGGATGCAGTCTTGCGCAACCTTGACTATAAGTAGCTTCACGAACAACGCCTGAAAACATCCGTGACACTCCCACTCACAGCTCAGCGCAGTCGCAGTGACTCAAAGCAAGGTCAAGGTTGTTTATATTGTCCATGCTTTACAATGTTATGTTTGCTTTTACAGTTACTCACTGATACCCTCACGTGTCGACACTGTCGGAAAATAAATATTCCTTTATGATACCATAATAGTGACAGAGAGCGTTTGCATTTTTTCTCTCATGGAGAGATTGTATAGAAACCTTGAATTACGCATGATATGTAACGAAAGTTTCGCAATTTACACTATGTTATCGGAGGACTCAAATTTAGACGAGTGTCTGTCGTGAGCTATCCTGGCAGCTGAGGTCCATGTCAGCTCGATAAACAGTGGGCGTCGCCAGGTCGGGAAAGACCATTGAACTTTGACCCACATGACTCTTGTGCCGGAAATGAACTTTAGCGAGCGTGTAGGTAAAACACACCCAACTTTTTGACCCATTCTTTAGACTGTACATTGAGATGTAAGCTGGAGGGGTCACTCAGAATAACTGGGAAACGAGTGTGTACATTTTATTAATCTTCCTGTTATTGTGTATATAATTTTGATAGCATTCACGGCCTTGAGTCGGATGATCGCCACAGGTGCTCTCGGGTTACACAAGTGATAAGAAGGTTCTTTTGAAATCCAAAAGCGTTTCTGTAAAATGAAATGGTTAGGAGAAACCAATGGGGTACGGGCTTTCCCATATTTAGATTCTAAACGCGTTTAGCAACGAAATGTGTTGAAATCCTTAAATGCTTAGAGTTACAATTAGGGACAAGAAATCTTTTTCGGTCTGTGTTGAGGATCTAATCATGTTTGTAAAAGTCTTTAGACTATCTTTCTATGCGATGATACAAATATTCTACAGGATTTGGACTTGATAAAACATATGTGTAAAGGTGCTCCCGAATAGTCCAGTAGATATTCAGTTAAGAACAAATAATATAACATTTCTTCTATACTACGCCGATAACTACAGTCACATATATACATGAGTGAGTGAGTTTAGTTTTACGCCGTTTTTAGCAATATTCCAGCAATATCACGGCGGGGGACACCAGAAATGGGCTTCACACATTCTACTCATTTGGGGACTCAAAACCGGGTCTTCGAAGGGTTAGCTTATTGGTTCTTAATGGTTACAGCGTTTTCGCTCGCCACGCTGAAGACCCAGGTTCGAGTCCCCACATGGGTACAATGTGTGAAGCCCAATCAAACCCGGGTCTTCGGCGTGAAGAGCGGACGCCTTAACCACTAGGCTACCCGTGTGTGTTTGAGTGTGTGTGTAAGGGGGTGGGGGTGGGGGTGGGGGTGTAGCCATAATACCATAATACATGAATAATAAGTATTATCCATACGCATACATCCATACACATCATAAATATCATACAACAATACATGTAAAATCCACATACACACGCACGCACGCACGCACGCACGCACGCACGCACGCACGCACACACACACACACACTTACATACATACATACATACATACATACATACATACATACATACTGGCGTTTATTTCCCTACTCAAATAAATGTCATAAGGTATCATGGAGGCCACTTTCCAGCATATAGTTTACCAGCGAAGGCTTCTCCTTTGTCTGCACAGCTCACATTACACACGTGTACTATGATTCAAAAGAGTTCTAACATGTAGACTGTGTTTAAAAACGACTCGGCAAATTACATGTTAGTGGAAACTAAACAGGCAGACCCAGTTGTATTTGCAGATCGATTCTGATTCCATAAGGATCAAGGCAAACTTATTGTAGGGAGGTGATTACTTTGCGACAGTTTGTCATGGTTACCAACTATTGGTAACGTTTTGTGACTGTCGTTATCAGCAATGTTTGACAAAAATATTAATCTGTCTATCAGTGTGTTATTATGGGGCGGATGTTCGGCACTAATGTAAAAAAAAAATTTTTGCGATGTTACGTGGAGGTATCATCATATGTATTCAGGTGCTCGTGTCACAAGTGGGACATTGGGGTAGCCGAGTGGTTAAAGTGTTCGCTCGTCCTGCTGAAGACCCAGATTCGATTCCCAACATGGGTACAATGTGTGAAACCCATGTCTGGTGTCCCCCGCCGTGATATTGATGGAATATTGCTAAAAGCGGCGTAAAACTAAACTCACTCACTCGTGCCACAAGTAAGAACTGATGTAGTAATTAGAGACGTTATGAGGTAATGTAAGTAGAAAGGCCTGCATGGATTTACCGTTGTCTCCCTGTTAACGGTTTATAAGAACTTGGAGTTGGGCAAAACCTGACGAGAACAAGACACCACTCTATCATAACGATTTAGTTGGTACACATACGAGAGTTTTTCAGATTGTGGAATTGGATCCAGATTTGGGAGGAATGGTTGGATCTACGTTTAATGGCAATCAATGGCAAAGTGGAAGCAGCGTGCGCCATCTGGCATCATATTGACTTGACTACAAAAACATCCTATTAATGGACAATATCTCAAAAGGTGACACCATCAATGGTCTAAGTTGTGCTAATCGGCTCAGGTAAATGCAGGGTACTATCAGAGCAGGACGTCGAGGGATTCTACTCTAGATTGCTTCATCTAAGGCTTTTGTATTGCAGAAATGGCTGGGCGGAAGAGAACATTTTATGGTTGTGAGACAGACAGATTTTACCACGTTTACGTTTCTAAATATACTCTCCCAAAAAAGAAACGCATATAGGAATTTCAACTGTATTTTTATGTTTATTTTGAAACATCTTGTAGGCTTTATGAGTCAATGAAATATAGCGAAATTGCACACTGGGAATGCAGACTTATCCGTCTTTGGCACCAACTCGAGGAAAGCCAGTTTGAGTGTCACATGGAGACGGTGGTGGCGCTGAAGTCAATACCTCGTGTGACCACCGTGGGCATCCAGAACTGCACGGCATCGCCTCGGCATCGAACGAATAAGTCTCAGAATCTCGTGTTGCCCAATCGCAGCCCACTCTGCCTGTAGTGCCTGTGCGAGTTGCTGAAGTGTCTGGGGCTAAGGGTTACGGCGTCGCACCCGTCTGGCCAGGGCATCCCACAGATGTTCGATCGGGTTTAAGTCCGGTGATCTTGAGGGCCAGGGGAGCACATTGATGTTGTGGTTCTGGAGGAAGTCTCTAGTGTGACGTGCTGTGTGGGGCCTGGCATTGTCCTGTTGAAACAACTCCCTATTGCGATCAATGATTGGAAGGAGGTGTGGGCGTAGGATTTCGTCACAGTACCGTTGAGCTGTCAGGTTGCCCAGGATCATCACCAAATCACTTCTCCTACGGCAGGTGATCGCTCCCCACATCATAACACTTCCCCGGCCGAATCTGTCCACCTGGGGAACGCAAGCGTCGGCGAAAAGTTTACGTCGACGTCTGTACACCCGCATTCTTCTATCGCGTCGTTCCAATAGAAATCGTGATTCATCACTGAACCAGATTCTACGCCAATTCGGTAGGTTCCAGGCCTGAACGTTGGTGCACCATTGAACTCGATATCGACGATGTTGTTGTCAAAAGCACAGGGCCAAAATAAGGTCTTCTGGCACGTAAACCAGCCTCTCTCAACCTGTTCATGACGGTCTGTGCAGAAAGTCTTCTCAATCCGGGTATTTGTCGAGCGGTACTGGTCGCCGTAGCTGTTCGATGACGCAGGTGATGTACCCGGATGTAGCGATCCTGCGCCGCAGTGGTCGCTCGAGGTCGCCGCCCACTACGAGGGGCATCTGCTACCGCCGCATTCTGCCGGCGATATCTCTCACAGAGCCGTGAAGTGGTGCTTTGGTGAACATTCATGCGTCGGGGCAACTGCGCGTTGAGACTGGCCAGCTTTAAGCAAACCAATGGCGATATGACGGTTGGCTTCACTTAGACGTGGCATTTTGCGTTCGTCAACAATATTCCAAATACAGTGAATAATCGACAGACCAGCAATCAACCTTTATACCCATCATTGAGACTATCTGATCCCCAACTTTCACGTGCATTGCATGTGAATTGTGTATTCTGTGACACTACACCCGAAATTGAAAATCATGCTGTTAAATACGGGTATTTTACGGAGGGTGCGTTTTGTTGTGATGTTTCAAAACATAAACTCAATAGGACTCCTAAACAGAGTAAAACCTTTTGTAAAATGAATCACGTTTTAATTCATTGCTACATGAAATTGCTATTTTTCATGATGCGTTTCTTATTTGGGAGAGTATATTTCCCTGAACCAGCGCACTCGAATAGCGTGGACGTGTCAAAACCACGACTGTATTGTGTGTAAATATATTCTGTCCCAGATTGCATCTAATTCAATACCTGGAAAAGGCACAAACTAGATCAGCTAACAAGGCGTGTAACCATGCAGAAACTTATACCTGCTGGGTTCAAGAATAAACCAAAACGTATTTGAGGAAATCCCAGGTCAACCCGGACTTTATTAACATTTCGAAAATGAAAATATATGTTTTGACTGTTTCTACGCACTAACGTATATTTGTTGTTGAACGTGTTTAGATAGCCCGGGTATTGATATCAATGTTGTTCCATTTGGTTGCACTCCAGCTTGGTAAACTGTTGTTTCTGTATATTCTTTCGTTACTTCCATTTTGCCTTACCCGGAATTGTTATTGACTATAAAGGGATTCTTCGGGTGGTAGTAAATATCCTTTGTTTGTTTTTCTTCTTTATGTGTTATTTTGAATTATATTTGTAATTACATGGAGGGGCGGTGGGGTAGTCTAGTGGTTAAAGCATTGGCTCGTCACGTCGAAGACCCGGGTTCGAATCCTCACATGGGTACAATGAGTGAAGCCCATTTCTGGTGTCCCCTGCCGTGATGTTGCTGGAATATTGCTAAAAGCGGCGTAAAACCAAACTCAGTCAGTCAGTGTAATTACATGGAACTTGTAGTTGGATATTTTCTAAATCTGGATACTTTGGACTCACAAGTGGTTCGAGGCATTTGAAAACTGCATTTCAGCAGGAGTGAAAACTGCATTTCAATATAGCAAGAATTTGCAGAAACCGGAATGTGAATTCGAGACAGAGTGATATTCGACATATCCTTCAGAAAGATATTTGACTGGAGTGAGCCATACGTAGTCACACCTTCATACAGCACTGTGTAGTTAAGGAAATCTGAAGTATTTTTTGCATGTGTATTCAAACAGCTGCGACATATAGGTGACCCATATTCGTTATGTAATCATTCATAGTTTTGGACCTCGTATGATGACCACTGGACTGGCTGTCCAGTTCATGAGAACTCAAAATCTACAGAATACGATATTCATCGTTGTAAGACTTACATGTTCTTTGTAGAAAGATGCTGAGCAGAATTCAGGGGTTTCTGCGATTCGATACAATACAGTGAACACTTATTTCATTGGGACGTCCATTCAAGCCAAAATTAATCTGTCTGAGGGAATAGAGGATAGGCCATGTAAGTCTGATACCACATCCTACACTTTAACCTCAACTCTTTGTTTACCCTGCGCTTCACCTCCTAACGGATGTAGAAGTGAAAAGCGGCGTGGAGGAGCTCTTTGGCAAACAAACCAGTCTACGGAGTATGCGGAACATATCCCAGTCCTCACCTCCTGGTCAAAGGGGGCGTCCTTGCCGTGTCCAGCCCATGGGTTGATCCCGCTGAAGCCTCCGAATGAAAAGTATCCGTTTGAGGGAGTGGGCTGGTTCAGGATGACGTCACCGTCAACGGAGATGCTGCAGTGTTACAAGAACCAGCGTAAGGCCATAACCACGTGAAGTACCGTAGACAGTAGACGTACAGTGGCGTCCATCCGTCCATCATCTGTTGTTTTTATTGTTTTGAAGTTTGTTTGTCTGATACGGGTGTTAAGCTATTATAAAATATAACCGTGTTAACTGGCCGCAAACCTACACAATGCCGCTTGCATCCCAGTCCATGGTGTAGGTGTGGAAGTCGTCAGCCCAGGTACCTCCGGATGCGATTCTGAAAACAGTTATCTCCCTTGATTCATGGTCACACCTAGCAAACGTTCCCGATACATGAGTAGGTAGCCTAGTTGTTGAAGCGTTCGTCACGCCGAAAACCAGAGTTCGATTCCCAACATGGGTACAATGTGTGAAGCACATGTTGGTGTCCCCGCCGTGATATTGCTTGAATATTGCTAAAAGCGGCGTAAAACCATACTCACTCACTCACTATATTTACAAGATATTTTAGACAAGAACACCACAGTTTCTGCAGGGATGGGGATGAGTAATATAATAATATTTCAATATAATTTGTGAATATATTATTCTTTAGCCTTGAATTGAAGAAATTCCGATTGTTGGGTTAACACGAACAAAATCATCAACATGTTACCAGAACAAGTGGTTGAAAGTATGAACACCGATTCACCTACTTTCCCTGAGTGGTCTTTGGCCAGCTGTCACTTCCTGGATTGGGTCCCCAGTGTAGTGTTGACATTATTCTTTGAATACCGATGTTTCCGTAATGAAGGTTACCTGTTAGTGAAATAATTCATGCTTCGTCATCCATATTTATGAGATCACTAAACAACGTCCTTTCAATAGTTTGATAGGCATTTCTTAAAGACTGGGGGCGGTGGGGTAGCTTAGTGGTTAAAGCGTTCGCTCGTCCTGCTGAAGACCCAGGTTCGATTCCCCACATGGGTACAATGTGTGAAGCCCATGTCTGATGTCCCCCGCCGTGATATTGATGGAATATTGCTAAAAGCGACGTAAAACTAAACTCACTCACTCACTGGTGCCACAAGTAAGAACTGATGTAGTAACCAGAGACGTTATGAGGTAATTTAGGTAGAAAGGCCTGCATGGATTTACCGTTGTCTCCCTGTTAACGGTTTATAAGAACTTGGAGTTGGGCGAAAACTGACGAGAACAAGACACCACTCTATCATAACGATTTAGTTGGTACACATACGAGAGTTTTTCAGATTGTGGAATTGGATCCAGATTTGGGAGGAATGGTTGGATCTACGATCAATGGCAAAAGTGAAAGCAGCCTGCGTCATCTGGCATCATTTTGACTTGACTACAAAGACATCCTATTAATGGACAATATCTCAAAAGGTGACACCATCAATGGTCAATACTGTGCTAATCTGCTCAGGTAAATGTAGATTACTATCAAAGCAGGGCGTCGAGGGATTCTACTCCAGAATGCTTCATCTAAGGCTTTTGTCTTACAGAAATGGCTGGGCGGAAGAGAACATTATATGGTTGTGAGACAGACAGATTTTACCACGTTTACGTTTCTGAATATTTCCCTGAACCAGCACACCTGGAATAGCGTGGACGTGTCAAAACCACGACTGTATTGTGTGTAAATATATCTGTCTCAGATTGCATCTAATTCAATACCCGGAAGAGGCACAAAGACGCTATCACAGCTAGATCAGCTAACAAGGCGTGTAACCATGCAGAAACCTATACCTGCTGGGTTCAAGAATAAACCAAAACGTGTTTGAGAAATCCCAGGTCAACCCGAACTTTATTAATATTTCGAAAATGTAATAATATGTTTTGAGTGTTACTACGTACTAAAGTATATTTGTTGTTGAGCGTGTTTAGAAAGCCCGGGTATTTGGGTTTGCAACCAGGTATTGATATCAACGTTGTTCCATTTGGTGCACTCAGCTTGGTAAACTGTTGTTTCTGTATATTCTTTCGTTACTTCAATTTGCCTTACGGAATTGTTGACTATAAAGGGATTCTTCGGGTGGTAGTAAATATCCGTTTGTTTGCTTTTATTCTTTTATGTGTTATTTTGAATTATATTTGTAATTACATGGAGGGGCGGTGGGGTAGTCTAGTGGTTAAAGCGTTGGCTCGTCAAGCCGAAGACCCGGGTTCGAATCCCCACATGGGTACAATGAGTGAAGCCCATTTCTGGTGTTCCCCTCCGTGATATTGCTGGAATATTGCTAAAAGCGGCGTAAAACCAAACTCAGTCAGTCGGTGTAATTACATGGAACTTGTAGTTGGATATTTTCTAAATCTGGATACTTTGGACTCACAAGTGCTTCGAGGCATTTGAAAACTGCATTTCAGCAGGAGTGAAAACTGCATTTCAATATAGCAAGAATTTGCAGAAACCGGAATGTGAATTCGAGACAGAGTGATATTCGACATATCCTTCAGAAAGATATTTGACTGGAGTGAGCCATACGTAGTCACACCTTCATACAGCACTGTGTAGTTAAGGAAATGTAACTGAAGCACTATATATGTCAATGAGTAATAGTGTGTGTTGTGCTCATGTGATTTTCGAGCCGTGCATACGTGCAAAGCTAGTTTACAAATATAGAGACAACAGCAGCACTAAGTCGTAATTCTATCGTCTTAAATCAGTCGTGCATGCAGATCGGAGCATGAGCTGAAAACAGAAAGGGGGTTTTGCATGGCTGTACTCTATTTATAGATTAGGGGCGGTGGGGTCGCCTAGTGGTTAAAGTGATCGCTCGTCACGCCGAAGACCCCGGGTTCGATTCCCACACATGGGTACAATGTGTGAAGCCCAGTTCTGGTGTCCCTCGCCATGATATTGCTGGAATATTGCTAAAAGCGGCGCAAAACCATACTCACTCACTCTGGCGTTGTTATACGTAACATAACCCACAAAAACAAAAGCAGCATCTTTCAGTGTCATTTACTTTATATGCACTATATTTACACGTGTCGTATATTTTGAAACATGTATTTACAGAGGGTATTTGCATCAATATGAAACAGAATCCTTGCCAGCCTATCCAGTAAGAGACTTTGGACCAGGTACCCATGCGCGATTACATGAACTACAAATATCGCAAATGGAGCATGATCAGGACACATCATCATTAGGTACAATTCTAAGACACGATTGTAAAGCGTTTCTAAAGCGTTTAGCAGGGGCATTCGAGCACAGCCGTCTAACGCACGTTTTGCTGTGAAGAGTCGCATCCCTTTACTGTGCCAGGATCTGCCCTTGTGACATCACATTTTTCAACACCGTAACGGTGTTAATAGGTTTTCACCAAAGTGATAAACATAATGATTTCCTCACTTAAGTCATTCTTGTTGAACACGTCATGATGTCACTAAAAACCAATAGCAAAATATTATACTGAGGGAAACAAATAAGGGAATATCACTTCATCGCACTATTCCTCTATTTATTCTCAGATTCTCACCAACAGTGCGATACAAAGCTTGTACAGAAACCTGGAAAAAAATAACGGAACATTTGTGCTTTAATGTCTTCCCTTATTTTTTTCCCTCAGTACATAAGGCATCAAACTTTGTACTTGTCTCACGTCTTACTTAAGTCACACGTAAAAGAACCATGAAAGCCTCTGGTAACACCCCTACCCATGCTTCAAGCGCAGGTGAGAAGATGAATATCAAGCGCTGGGAAACAGTTCAGAGTAAGATGGAGGATGGTCAGTGATGACGTCACTGATGACGTCATACGGTGGTGGGTGAGTGTTGATGCTAGATGGGGACTGGGTAGAAATGATGTCACAGGGGAGATGAAGATTCTGAACTTGGGAAGGATTCGTGAAGAGGTGGAGCTGATGGTACACATCGCTGTGTCACACCATCTACGGGAATCGGACGCAAGTTTCTACACCTGTCCGTACACCTGTGTTCTTTCAAAACCACCTTGATCCCGTCATCACCTTTGTCGCTATCTCCGTACGTCCGAGAAACAGAATGAACAGTAGGTTCTCCAAGATGGAACACACCATCAGGTCCTACCATCCCTTTCAGCCCACAGATGACAAGCTTCTCGTCCGACTTGTGATATGAGAAGTGTATCAGTTCATCCAAAGCCTTGCAGCCTTTCACGTTCCTACCCACGCTGTCCACAAACATACTTTCTTCACCAAACACCTCTTCAATTAAAACCATCTCTCCCTCTCTCACTTCCCGGCCGACTGTCTTCATCAACCATGACGTTGCTCTCTTCATCCGTGCTATCATAGGCGAATTGGCTGATATGGGGAACATACTGTTCTTGTACGCTGTTCTCATATATTCAGTTACCATTCGTAATTGCTTGTACCTTTTCAGGTTACTTTGCCATGGGTTTTTGGAGGTACAAGGCTTTGATAGCGGAAAGTTGACAGCCACTGTGTCGCCTGATCGACACGTACCATACAGCTCGCCCGCTAGAGTTATCGTTCCTGTTTCTTTTTGATACGTCACTTCCGCTATTGTCAATTATGGCTACTCTGTGTCCATGCGGCGCTGTGGTGTACGTGGAACTATGTTTCCGGAATGATATACCCATCGTGAAGTGTCTTCTGAAAAATTGCAAACAAAAATTGAAATCATTGAATACACTGGACATTTAACCGATCAAAATACAAACTAATATATTGGTAAATAATAAGAATCTATGAACATTTTTGTAAAAGTAAGACTTGAAATAAATTCTGCAAAGCGAAACCAGAGTGATAGACGACAAAGTAATATTCTCTAATTATAGGTGTAGTATATACTTCGAGTTATCCAAGGTTCGAGACAATCGAAAAATAGCGATTGACAGTGACCCAGTTTTTAATTCGTGACAACCCTCTCCCTGATATGTTTGTTAAATCGGCGCCATTTGATTGCAGAGTACGAGTGTGAGAGTCTGGTTTTACACCCCTTCAGCAATATTCCTGCTATATCACAGCGGGGGAAATCAAGAATGGGTCTCACGCATGCTACAGTGTTGGAAAACGAAACCGTATCGTCCCCATGACGAGTGAGAGCATTACCCACTGGGCTATTCTGCAGCACCATCCACTGGGAGAGAATGGCAGATGAACTTACGGTGTATTTACCTTATAATCTATACGTCGCACTCTCAGGATATGGAACCAGTGGGGGTTAGGGTGTGGAAAGGGAGAATGTCGTTTATCCCATGATGGAATGAAAATAGAGAGGAGACGAGGGTAGGAGGGTGAGGTCTCAAGACGTTATCCATGGGGTATCAACCACTAGACTACCCCACAGGATCGAGTAGTATATACAATAGCGGTATTTATGAAATAAAGCTTTTGTCAGGCCCTTATCTCTCTCCGCTATTGTATATACCACTGTTTGAATCCCCAGTTAACTTCCTGGTCACTATGACCGCGAACCAACACTTTCCTGATCACGTGACACTATTTTGATCTCCCTATATCGTGTTGACCTCGACGAAACAGTTTAATGTGAATCGCCTATGAGCTCTTTGGTCTTCGTGATGAAGGTTTGCCGGGCTTGTTGTACCCTTTGTTCTATGTACTTATTTTTCTCGGCTTCGCTGACGGCAGTCTTACGAGACTTGGACCGAATCTCTTGTTTCTCTTAAACACCAACCCCACCAACCCTGACACCCCAGCTGTTATCTCGATGCCCAGCACTATGGGTGCGGCCACGATGGTGGTCAACAACCCGACACCTACCGCCCCTAGTCCCGTGCTGGTTGTCATAAGGGCGGTATCGGCCCCGTCCACGACATTGAAAGTCCTATGGTACTTCTTGCATAACGCTGCCCGTCTGTCGCGGTCTTGATCTAGTTGGCGTTTTATGTCGCATAACTGCCTCAAGGGGAACCTGTCTACGGTTCCAGTGTCTTCACTACTTCCTCTACGACTGGGTACAGGCCCATCCTGTGCGTATAATATATACTACAAGATATTTTTGAATTGATCTTCATTTAATAGTCGATCAATGTACTTGAGGCTTGTAAGGCCTAGTATCTTGTGTAGGCGAATAAGGGAAAGGTCAATAGGTAAGTTTTGTTCTATACTAACGTCAACGTAGCTTGTTAAGGGGGACAGCAACCCCAGTGAGGGGTCCGAGCTCCGTCGTATGACGATACGACAATGGTAGTCCCAAAATGGATATGTATCTGGCCAATATATTTCCACCCCAGGTAAAAGGCGCCAGGGTGGTCCCTCCCCTTCCAACCCATAAATGGGGGCTGGGAAAATGACTTCTATGATGAGTGTGGAGCCTGGGGGCATAATCGTAGAATATGATAGGCCAGTGTATAAGTTGAATATTAAAAGTGCATCCCTGATTGGTGCATATAACATGTAGCCCGGGGGACGTTGTGTTTGGGCAACTATTATATCCTGACCCGCGGTGAACCTCCCGAGCAAGATACCGTTGTTCTCAATTTCGGTGATATTATACTTGGTTAAAGAGATATAAGGTGCGGTGAGGGTCATGTTGATCAACCATTCGGGTTCTTTAAAGTCTGCCAGGGACACCCGCCTATACACGTTGTCTTTCAAGTGTAGGACGTACAAGGTGCCTTCCTCGCCGGGCAGATCGAACCCCTCCGTGTCTCCTAGGTCGTTAAGCGTGACGTTGGGGCGATGACTGGTCATTGCTATATTACTACCATAAGATAGTTTCCAACTGTTTTTCTGATAACTTCTCAGGGGTGCACTTCACCCCCATGAGGTGTATGTTGTCGGGTAGGAATATCTTGGTGAGTGATATCGTGTCTTCCACAGTCACGGTGACCCCCTGCAGACTGGTGTGGGAGTCGACCCCCACCCGCACGTAAACAGTGCAAACATGATACTGGTGTTGTTTCACCCACCGGAGTTTGATCCCCTTCACGACTTCGACTTCGCGCTGTGGTTCACCTAGGTAGACTTGGATGACCAGCGTGGAGTTCGCCGGTAGACTCTCCAGGATGTTGACCACGCCTTCGAATTCAGACACCACCTGCAACCCCACGTTTTGCGCCCCGGGCTTACTCGATAGCATGTGGGCTGCCATACTCGAGAGGGGGCTGATGACTAGTAAGCCACAAGCAGGGTTCCGTTGTTCACGACTTTGTTTAGGTAGTTGTCTTTGTTCTCCGTGAACACGTAGGGGGAGCCGAGCCTAATGTTGAGAAACCAGTCGACTCGAGAGGGAAACAACACCCATTTGTCGTCGTCAGTGAAGACGAGGACATACGGCTTGTTTCGGGCGACGATCGTGCTCTCGACATGTTCTAAGTCGAACAGTTTGCCGCCTAACGATAGGTATACCGACCATCTATCATCACCGATGCGGACTAGGTCGAGCCGAGTGTTGAGGGCCGCTCCTGATGTATCAACTATATCACCTAGGGTTCTACCAGAGGGGACTTCAACGCGTTTGTAAACGCTGTTTTTAAGCTGTAAGGCGTACAGTCTACCCTCTACTCCGGTGTCGTCGAACCCGCGTGTGTCCCCGAGGTCGGAGATCCCTACATTGACGCATCTCTTCACCCTTCCGGGTCCTTGTGCGCTAGTCATCTTATGTGCAGCGTTATTATGAGGTATCCTATATTAACAGGATTATGCTTTATATCTAACACTGATATTACCAACTCCGGGATAGCGTGCTGCAGCTGAACAGACTCACCGCTCGTTATCCCTGGAAGTGTCACGTACATATTAGAGTATATATATATATATATATATATATATATATATAATACTTTTAACATGTACAACCCGGGAGTGTTTTACCCTAAGATGGACATAGACTTCACGCACATGAAGATCGTGGTCAACGTGGCTGGGTTGCACTTCGGAGTCAAGTTCACCGATGTGTTCGGCCAGTATAGGCTTTCGGTGACGAACATCAAAGCAGTCCACCCCTGATTCAACAACCCGATGCAGTTCTGGCAGAATCAACTCAACTTCTCCGTTAGGTGTCGTACACGACGACTGGGTGTGGCTTGACGTTGACCGACACTTGGCGGGGACCGCTGAGTCAGTATGTGTTCACGGTTTACGTGTCCTACCAGGTCAGGCGTATCCTCAAAGAGATCAGCGCTCCGCTCCCACAGGACAAAGCATGGGACGCAGTAAACAACCCGTACGACCGACGTGCCTACGAATGCGTTTGCAATGAATTCGAACTAGACCCGAAGACGGATTGGCGTTTGCCGGGGCCGAACCACGGGTTGGGTATTCCATATGATGGGGGGCGACCCGTGAAAGAAGTCAGTGTTGATTTACTGAAACGAGATGTATTACGCCAGGACTTTGCTTTGTTGAGTAATGAATGGCGAGATGACCGTATGAACTTAAAAGGTGGTGTTGCTTTCACCGTCCAGAAAGTGGAGCAGCCCACCGTGGACGATTGGAAAATGTTCATGCTGGACACGTCGAAAGGGTTTACTCGTGCCGGTGTCACCAGATTGAACGACTTGATTCGAACGTACGTGTGGGCGCTGGTGGGTGCGCAGACGCAAACGCGTTCATACATCCTCGTTAAGGGGGCTGCTTCTGACGCGCAGAAACAGATTGTTGCCAACGTCGAGGATGCCATCGCCGCCCCGGTCGACCTGCAGAGTGCCATCCAACGCTACCAAAACGTATTGGAATACGCCCAGTCTAAAGTCGACTACGTGTTCGACATGGGACTGTACATGGCCCCGAGCGACATGCAACTGAGAGTCAATGAAGTGGTGGGCTACAACAATGAAATAGTCATCGCCACGGCCGACCAGAAGTTGGGTATCAACCCGGGCACGTCCCACCTCCCACGACCCGTGAAACGGTCATAGTTGTACCACCCCCAGAGCCCAGGATACGGCCCGCACCCCCACAGCCACTTTCCCCACGTGAGGTGGCTGAGAACAAGGAACATCTCGATAGTAAAACCACGCTAGTGGTCGCTGGGATCGCAATCAGCCTCATTTGGTTAAAAATTCCTTAGCCGTGACGTACACCAGCCCGGCCACGGCTCGATGGCTGCCCACAGGTTTGGTCTGAGCCACGTGGCAGTTTTAGCCAGCGTACTCAGCAGCCACGAGACGATGCTACCCAGGATGCCGAGCAGGGCTTCGGTGGCCTTACCCGCGAGTTTAGCCAGGGCCTCCCCGAGGGATTTCAGGTGCCTTCTCACCCAGTCTCTGGCGTCACCACCAGGTGGGGTTGGGGGCGTACCTTCACCCCCTCCAACCCCCATCAGCGATACGACCAGGGTTGATATGATGAAGCCCAATGCCGTCAGAACGCTGGCGATGGTGATCCCTTGCTCTCGGAAGAGGATTCGGATCCTGTCAGCTAGCGTGG